TATATATATATATATATATATATATACTTTTTCACATTTAGCATTCTGGAAAGTCACAGCTAAGGATGGGCATTTTCAATTCTCCCTTAAATCATGTAAATTCACTGTAGCGCCATCAGCACTCATGTTGATAATAATCATTTCCAGAACAAATCAAACTGGCATTTTATTTCAGGCTATTTGATCCCGTTTAGTGTAGCTGACTATTTCTGTCTCCAGCAGCCAAGAAAATAATTGTTATGGCTATATGAATACTGTCAGCCCTAAAAATCCTGTTTCCATATAAGACAGAAATAGGTGAGCAGCTTTATTTGTGAGAATGAATGTAGAGCAGATTTGTTTAATCGTGTTGTTACTCTTTCTTGAGAAAAACGGCATCACTTTTTAATGCCAGGATCAAATAAAGATTGAGAGAAGTCATTTCTAGAGTAAGTGTGCCCTCTACTGGATGCATCACATTGCAGTTTTGTTGGATGTGTTGTGTTTAAACAGTCCGTTCCACCTGTGGTCCCTGAAGACTGGGAATGGAAACTATTAGGTCCCTGTCAGGCAGTCACTTGGAAGAAAACCTGTAACTGAAAGAAAAAGCAGCATAGTTGCCTGTTCTGTCTTCTCACCTAATGGCTTACATACGTCAAGCCAAAAAACCTAGAACAAGAACACAGGAGTTCTACCGTCTCTTCCATTTCATTAGCTGTATACTTGTTCTGTGTCACTAACTTATTATTAAGGCCAAGGACAGTCAGGAAACTAGCATTTTCAGTAGAGGGTGAGCAATTTAATCTCGGCAGAGAATTTCTCTTTTTTGACAAGTAGCTTTCATTCATTAGACTAACAAAACTGTGGATCTCATGCTCAAAAGGCACTGTCAAGAAATTAAAGCCCTTGTACATAGGTGAGTGTTTTTTTCTTTACCGCTGTGGTGAGTGCAGCCACAAATACACACAAAGAACAAAGCAACAATTTTTAATCATGCATAGGAAAGTCAAGAACTTAAGTTTGAACTTAACTCAAGTTTTATTACCCTCTACCCCCTTATCTGTACTTCCCATCTTCTTTCTCTGCCGAGATTAAATTGCTGACCTTCTAAATCATCAGACCTTCTAAATCATCAGTCTACACACACAGTGTATAGACGTGAGGACACTGAAGAAGATTTCAATGCTGTAGGGAGGGGATGACAGGCTGGAGGGAGTACTGTCCTCCTTACCATCTTGTCTTGATTTATATTGTGATTGTAATGTCTTCTTTATATTGTAAAGCTCTGCGCAAACTGTTGCTACTGTATAATAATAATAATAATTTACGGGCCCTTAGACCACTGCAGAGGAGGGGGAGAAACGTTGGAAGGACTGGTCTGGTCTAAGAAAAAGCCGGCCCCGAGCTTCGGGTGAGTCTAACTTTTTTGTGTGAACCTAGACACAAACAAGCACTAAACCCTTGCAGTGCGGGTGTAGCCCCAATGCAAGGGTTAATAAAACATTTCCTAGGGTTTTGAAACAAGCAGCCACTGAGCTCTGCAGGTACAGTGGTATAATTTCAAAATCACAACAGAGACTCTGAAGTAGGGATGCACCGATACCGGTATTTTGGTACCGAGTACGGGTACCGTTATTCTTTTTCTGGTACTCGCCTATACCAAATATCGAGTACCGGAAGTCCCATTCAGGAAGCCAGGCGGTGTGTAATGACTCGCCACCTTGCTTCCCGAGTAGCCGAGAAGCCGGGCAGCGTGTAAAGACACGCCACCCAGCTTCCCGATTAACAAGGAAGCCATCCCATGCTTCTCGTCACTATGTGCCGAGAAAGCATGGAGCCGGCTTGCTGGCCAATTAGAAAGCCGGGCGCTGCGTCATTACACGGCGTCCGGCTTCTTGATTGCCCAGCTTCCCGACTAATCAGGAAGCCGGGCAGCGTGTAATGACGCATCCTGGTTGGCCGGTAAGTCGGCTCCATGCTCTCTCATCACAAGTGACTAGGGAGCATGGAGCCGTTACATGCTGCCCGGCCAATCAGGAAGCCGGGCAGCATGTAACGCCCTCGCTGCCCGGCTTCCTGATACAGGAAGTATCGGGCTAGGCATCGGAGCATTTGGGTGAGTACGAGTACTCTCCCAAATACTCGATGTCGGCACCGATAGCCATACTAGTATGGCTATCGGAGCATCCCTACTCTGAAGTTTCAGTCGATTTTCAAAACCTTACAGCACTTGCTGTTTTTTGACATTAGAGGGCTGGCAGATTGCCAAGTCCAAGCTGCTAAAGAAAACAAGGGAAGAAATTTGAAGATTCATTTCTCCACAGTGCCTGCAGCAACAGAAGTCAGTTGAGTTTTTGATTTAAAACTAACTTACTGCCTGTTAAGAATATCTAGATACTATCATAGTCCATGGTTGGGCCACAGGTGAATAACACTACTAAAGTAGAATTCTCTTTCTCTTGAAATTATACTTCCTTGCAATAATGGGCACTCTGTACACCATTTTTCACAGAATGCTCCATGACATTTCCTGCTCATGTGACAGAGCCCTGATATCAGTGGGTGCGTATAAACCTGGTTGAAGAGATAGGCTGCCGCTTCTCTGATTAAGATAGAGGAATTGCTCTTCAGAAGATAAAACCCTGGAAATGCGGTTGGAAGCACCTCATAGGAAATGGTCATCTCACACGAAAGTTCATTTAAAATGTTTGCCAAATAGAAATGTCAAATACAATGTGTTTTAAGGGAATGGACCCCCGGTTCTTCAGGGTTTGAGAAATGACATGTGATTGGATCTGGAAATATGCACTTTGTGGCAGGATTTTAGGTGGAATGAAGGGCTTTAAAACAGCATGACCCGACTACAGTTAGGGCAGCCAACTAGATAGGTTTGTTTACATTAGAAAGCTTTGAGGCTGCCAAGTCCCTGCTTCCATAGAACATAAGGGGGGCTGTGAGTTCAATGTCTCTGTTGGGAACTTTAAAGAATAATGCCTTCACAGTTTAGTAAATGGGGCACATAATTGGTGTGCTTTGGCAATCTCCCACTTTGGGTGCTGACCTCTTGTATTAAAGGAGAACTATGAGGTGAGTGCTTTTCACTCACCTCATAGTTCTAGCCGACCTGTGACAATGAGACTGTCACAGGTTGGCTCAGTAGATCGGGAGGTGAGCGAACACATACCGGGTTCGCTCACCTCTCGATCCTGTCAACAGAGTCAGAAACCTGACTAAACCATTGAAGCATCGGGATTGGCAATGACAGTCTATCTTTATTGAGCAGATAAACCACAAATGCAATGATACAGAAAATCCTACAACTAAAGATCCTAATAGATTATGAAGAGCTACTCACATCAACTATCAGCAACAACCTGTGTATATACAGATAAAAATCAAATGCAGCGCTTTTTCACACAAAATTAAACATAGTGTTAAGCTCAATATAAACCACAGGTAAATAAATGACTCCAGTGTGTATTGTGCTGTTACCTTGTTCCAAATGACACACAATGAATCTTATTTGAATTAAATGTGTTGTTTATATATAATCTAATTTTAATCATTAAAGAGGGCTACATTTTGTTTTTCAACTGGATAACAAACCACCAGTGTTTACTTATACCAAGTTTCACTGCAGGGAATGGCTGGCAATGGGACAAATGCTCCTCAGGATGCTCTTGATTTCTCACATGAAGACTAGCAAAAAGCCACAGTCAGTAATGCACATATATAGCCAATGTAAAATCACAAAAAACATTTACAGGATTCATTTTTTGTCAGCATGCAACAAATTGTTAAAACATTTCACGTTTTCAGTAGCGGGGAAAGTCACAGCTATAACTAGCAGCAAAAATGGCTGCTACGAGTGTATTCTTCCCCATAATCTGTTTTCATAAACAAATGAATGCTGTCACGCAAGTGCAACACTTCTGTGCCTCCCATTCCTTCCTTTCCAGCCATCCAATGCAACAAGCAGCCAATCCTCCATGGTCCATTTAAATAGAAGCTAAGGAGGTTTGCACTGTTATTAAACTGTATACCCTGTCCCAAAATGAATCAAAAACACAGCACTTTAGGTCTGTCACATAGCTAAACTATTGCCAGTAATGGACCCAATCCTTATTAAATTATAAGGTCTCACGTTAAAGGAAACTTGTGGAAAGTTAACATGGAGGCTGCCACTGCTGAATTTTCATTCTGACAGTGATGGTTGATGGGTTTTAATGAGGATCCAATGACTGTAATACTCTGAGACACTAACCTGGTACAAGTATGTCGATTGGGAGTTCTGATTTCACTCTACATACTTGTTCTTGGCCAGTGACTCAAAATATTAAAAGGTGAAGACAGCAAGTATTTTTAGCAGGAAAATCAGCCGTGGCAGCCACTATCTTTATTACTACAGGTTTTCTTTAATGCACATGCATGGTGATCTCTACAGTGCCACACAAAGAGATGGTTTACCTTTACTGGAGACCTTCCCATCAGAGAAGGAGATACTGCAGCCACATGTCTAGCTGGAGAAGCTAAAATTAAAATGAGAGTTAGAAGAACATTTTACACGAGAGTCTATGTTAATTTAAATTTAGTGTTGGCTTTTGAATACAATTCTGTTGGCAGCATCTTGGCATATACTTATTTATCCGATATAAAACAGATCCTAGCATGAGAAAAGGTGATAAACTCCCTAATATACTATTCACATTCAAACTCAAAGAAACAGTAGAGACAGCTGTAGGTAAAACACACCTCCTATTATAGTCAAATAATCAGAATACAAGGATCATGGGGATTTGAAGTCTTTTTTTTGGAGACATATCTATGAGGACATACAATTTTGAAAAAAAAACAACTTAAATCAGATGTGCCAATAAATTAATATTATATTGAAAAAAATGTTTTTCTTGGTACGACCCCTTTAAAGGAAACCTTTTACTGAGTATAATGTGTGCTGCCATTGTTGACATTTTGGAAATGCTAGATTCTCTGGCTTGAATACTTTCTGCATCAATTACCTGGAAGTCAGAACCTTTTTCTTCCTACTTGTCTCAGGTCATTGCCTCAGAAAGGTAAAAAGCCACTGGAACAGTATTAGTCAGGAAACTAGCCTTCATATTCTCTCAGTAGAGGTTTTTCATTTAAATACTACTGGTCATGGCCAGGTTTCTGAAACAAGACTTTGTTCAGAAGAGGAGCAACATTTGAAGTACGAAATGTTCTAAAGTACACATTTCCATTGAAGCAACACACCATAGAGCTGAGCATTTGTAAACTTTCCTCTTTATGGTGCCATGAAACATTATGTTTGCTCATAGGCGATAAATGTCTCATTGCCAGCTTTAACTCAATTAAGTCTTCTGAACAAAAGCTGATAAAACCACAGTGCATGAAGTTAGTTTGGAATGAATTTGATTAAACCTGAATGCTGAGCCTTTCACACAAATCAGACTTACCAGCCTGAGTGGGCCTGGGCGGCACAGGAGGAGTTATCAGCCTTCCACTCTCTGACATGTTTTTGGCTTCTTTCCCGCTGTCCAGGCTCCAACTGCTTGGGGCTGTATTCACTGCTGTAAAATAGGAGCAGAATTGACATAAACAACCTTGAATTTCACTGTAGATTTTGAAAGTCAGACCTGATTGTGTTATTCTATACAGAACAAGACAGCAGCCCTTCACATCTCATTGTGAAGAAATATTCTAAAAGTTTTGGCAGGAGGGCAGTACATGATCTGACTACATAAACAGTGACTTTGTAAATTACTTTGTAATACTGAACTATGCTCTGCTCCGGCATGCGTCCTCTATTTACCATACCTGCAAACAGACATATACCTAAATCTAGTCAGAAATTATAATGATAACCTCAGTGATACTGGGCAACTTATGACATAAGTGTATGGGTAAATAATGATCCCATTAATGTAAATAAAAAATGATCAGATACGCTTTATATTGTGGCCTGAAAACGGCTGTAGTTATCAGACACTGATCGGTGTGTGCAAATTAGGCGGGCCCTATCGAAGGGTCATTCAACCTACAGATCTGCAGAATCTCATACAGTTTAGCCACCTATACAATTGACTGTACTTTAATTGATCAACACTGGTCTTCCACAAGAAACTGGTAAGTTGGCTGAGATAATACAAATCTATAATTACTGATAAGAATGTCTACAAGTACACCCGTTCAAGGATTTTACATGTGCTATTTAAAAATAAAAGTAATGATTGCTAGTAAATAGTATAACTCTTCATCTTAATTCACAACTGAGGGCAACGTTATACAAGCAGGCAATTAATAAATTTCAGTAGTAACTAAAACACATGCATCAAAGTGTCCAATTAAACATGATTTACCTCAAGGAATATCATTGTATATGCCAAATACACTGACTGCTCTTTATCTTATGTCAGTTTATTTATTCAGAACTTAAATTACAAGCTTTAATGATTAGCAATTAAGATAATTTTGTACTAAAATAATGACTTCCATCTATCTTATTCACAAGGCTCACAGAGGCCTTTTCTAATTATATGCAGGGAAGGAACCCAAGTGACAATATTATTTACACTTTTTAATATACGGTAAAGGTGCTAATATTCAAACAAATCCAGCTTCAAAAGTCTACATTCTTACCCATGACATTATATTTGTATACATCCCTTTCCATGTGGTAGCTTCCAATAGCTATGTATTACATGCTGAACCCTGGAAGCTGTCGCCCCCCCCCGTAAAACAAAGGAGAAAGCAAAGAACTAGTCACCAGTAATAACTGTGGCATTCACACAGCTGATCTTTTCCCTGTTACTGACCAACCATGCCTTGCACTGTGTCTCTGTGTGGCAGTGGTCATCTTTGTAGAGACAGGGCACTATGTTTTCTCATATCACAGCCTCCAGCAAGGAGAACAGCGATCAGCACAGCAGTGACATCATCAAATCTCACTCCAAATCTCCTCAGACTAGCAGTCAGAGGTACAGTGCCTTAAATCTGAAAGTGCAGTGCTATTTTTGTTAGGAGGAATTCCAGACAAAAAGGTATATTTTAAGGGTACTGGTTAGACACAAGATTTCTAAATGTTCCCTTTAACATAACAAATAATCTCTTGTGGTCTACTTTAAGCTAAATAAAAACAATTTGTTTTTTACCACAGACATCAGATAGCAAATTTCCTCACATAAAAACGTCTTGGCTGCTGACATATTTTTTAACAGCATGCCTTGTTTGTTCAATACACACATAAAGGACCTCCTAACTTTGGGGAATAATATTTTTTTTAGATAAAAAGCACAACGTTGTCCATAAAGTACTTCCCACGTGAGGTTTGATGGCTGGATGCAAGTCACCTATAGGCATCAAAGTTATAAAAATGGGAATATTAATTGATTGATCACACAACTATCCATCCTTACCCCCATACCAAGGTGCTAGGTGTCATCCTGGACTCAGATTTCACCTTTCTTCTCCACATCCAATCTTTATCCAAATCCTGCCGCCTTCACCTTTGTAACATCTCCAAAATATGCTACTTCGTCACCAATGAAACCGCAAAACTACTTATATACTCCCTTGTTATCTCTCGTCTTGACTATTGCAACGTCCTCCTCATTGGCTTACCTCTACATAGGCTATACCCCCTTCAGTCTATCATGAATGCAGCTGCTAGACTCATCCACCTGACCAACCGCTCAGTGTCTGCAACCACCGTCTGCCAATCCCTGCACTGGCTTCCACACGCCCAAAAGGATAACATTCAAAATATGAACAACGACATACAAAGCCATCCACAACTCTGACCCCGGATATATCTCAAACCTTGTCTCAAAATATCACCCTAACCGTCCCCTCCGCTCTTTCAAAGACCTCCTGCTTTCCAGCTCCTGTCCGTCTACCTCCCACTTTGACTGCATTTAGGCGATCCCTTAAAGGAGAACTATGACATGAGTAATTTCCACTCACCTCATAGTTCTAAGCCGACCTGTGACAATGAGACTGTCACATGTCAGCTCAGTAGATCGGGAGGTGAGAGAACACATACCGGGTTCCCTCACCTCTCGATCCTGTCTAGGCTCTCTGCTGTGACAGGGGGAGGGGCTGGATTCCCCTCTCCCCGCTCCGATCTGCCAGCGCTGACTGGCGGAACGGACGGGGGAGGGGGCGGGTACAGTATACCGCGAGCTTAGGGTAACGGGAGGACGCTAGTTTGTGTCCTCCCGTTACCCCAAGGAGAACTATGTGGAAAAACACTGACCAAATAGTTCTCCTTTAAGACTCATCTCTTCAGGGAAGCCTATCCCACCTCAACCTAACCACTCAACCATCATGTTCTCAAACAATTCATCCCCACACTGCTACCTACTCATGTATCACTTCCCCCTCCCTTTGTAAGCCCTCACGAACAGGGCCCTCCTTACCATGTTGTCTTGAGGTGTCAATTAGGAGCACACAGGAGGTAACCCACGATTTATAAATTGAATTGTATTTATCATGTCTTCCTTATATTGTAAAGTGCTGCGCAAGCTGTTGGCACTATATAAATCCTGTATAATAATAATATTAATATGACAAGGACCACCTTCTGCCTATGTTTACCTCAGATGTTTGAGGCAAACAAACAAACAATCTGTTTACTCCACTAATCATTTCTTACACATTCTATGGCATTGATTACAACAATGATGAGCAATCCTATATCATGCTGTCATGAAAGCAATTGATTTCACATATATATAAAAGAAAGCTCTCATGGAGAGAATAAGCTGTGAATTCTACAAAGACATTTCTGTGGAGTACTGAAGGAGACCACAGTTGCTCTTCTGAATCTTAACATACCTTTATCTGGAGCAGAAAGATTTGGGTCACTGCGAGGCAAGGTGTTTTCTCCAATGTGATTGAATAAAACTCTCTAGGAAGGTTGAAATAAAGGAAATAACAGCTTTAGTGCATGTATTTGTACATTGTATAACCATGTATGTTTATATGGCACATCTAGGTTTTTGTTCTGTGGATCAAGATGGAAATCATATATTTTCCATTCTAGTGACACTTTTTGATGTCTTAAGTTAGGTTTTGATGTTTTATGCTATACTTCTGCGTGTAAAAAAGGTACGTTTCTAGCACTATGGATTATTAAAACGCAAATCCTAGCACGCACTTTGAGAAATATCAGCATGAAAAAGAAAGAAGAAAATAATGAGATATCAGACTGAAGGCCTTGTATTTCTGCAAAGCAGACATATGTATTTTTGTGAAAATGGTGTTGAAGAGCAGAGCACCAGTGTATAGTACCAGTCCTAGTATGTATAATTTTAATGATTAAAATAAATACATTCCTTCGCTTTGTCTGCTCTCAGATTCAGGTTACCAAGCAACATCCTCTAAAGAATGGAAACTAGGATGGTATTAAGAAAACCTAGCTTGTGGATATTTCTACAGACATTAACTACTTAATAAGAACAGAATATTGATGCATCAGAAAAATAATGACCTTCTACTCAGGGAAAATTGCAGCAGCCTCTCACACATAAAATTTGACACACACAGTAATAGACTAAGTTAGTCTTTCATATTGCATACATTCTCCTATTTCAGCTAAGACAATTGTTTTCTGAGAATAAAAGTGCTATTTTTTACGTTTGCAATTATTGGTTAGTTAATTGGTTAGTTTGGCAATTATTGGTTAAATAATCAGTATACAGATATTAAAACTACTAAGTGTACTATACAACACAACAATTTCAGTCTAGCTTTATCTGTGAAAGCACACATTGTCAGTTTGCTTTAAATCTGGCTACCTGGGGCGGTTCAGCTGGGATTGGAAATATGGCACTGCAGGGTCTCTCTCTTGGGGACAGGCAGGCATTTTCTCTGGAATGCTTGTGTTTGTCAGATAACAGTGGGGAAGCTTAAAACAGAAGACACAGCAATCAAAACAATATAGATAAAATAACAGTATATTTGTGCGAGATATTCTTCACGTGTGTTCTTTATGCAAACTGTTGGGAGCATATAGGACCATGTTATCCTTACTGGTTGAGAAAAACTGTAGAGTTTGAATAATGTGATGGTTAAAAACTATAAATGTTATGTCTTAAATGTTGTCAGTGAAAGTGTGGTAATGGAGGTATTTATATAAACAAAACAACATAGCATAAACAAGGCTTTTGTAAAATATATAAAACATGCAGTACCTCTTGCACTTGATGGAGCGGAACTTGTTACATTTGGGGAGGCAGAATGAGTAGAACTCAGGCTTGAGGTAGAAGGACTAGGCTGAAATACAATTGAGGTTAAAAAAAATAGTACTTTAAGTCCTTAGTCAAACTAAAAAACTGCAAGGTTATGCAAATATCTGTGGGTGGCCTGGAATAAGCATATCTGTAAAGTTAGACATCCTTATTTGCATGCTAATTCCAGGTACGGGACATAAAGTATTAAAGTGTAAACATGACATCCACAAAACTAACATTTTGCAGAATGAAAAGTAGGCATGGCCTCATTGTCTCTCAGAAAAAGTTACCTTTAAACAGGTCCAATGGTGCACCAATTATAACCTAAAGCTGTGGCAGCAACACGCTGGGGCTCCAACATCAGCAGTACATTCAATGGAAGTTAATAAAAATTGGTAAGGAGGCTGTCTATTACTTTACATAGCAATAGGGAGGTGAGAGAAGGTGGTTCCATTTGTGAGTTTACAGGAAAATTTAAGATTTGCATTTCACTTTAGCTGCTTATATCCCTTGATCCACTGATTGTTGCAGTTTCCACTGGAGTTAAGCTCTGCTGATGTATTACACATTAAGTGCAGTTTGGGTTGCCCATTTGCTTTTAGCATCATCTTGAGCCCTACAAAATGTAGTATTCAAAGCTGCAACATTCTGATGATCCCTATTTACATGAATTTGCATGCCCCCCCTCATAGAAATGACCTGTGAATGTGCATGCCCCCACTCACCCCACATAGAAATGACCTGTATAGCTGATATATGGCATGGGCCAAAGTTGTTGCATTGTGGGATATTGGCAGGTATGCATTTCCTCCACTACCATTAAGTGGAGAAACATTGGAGGGTACAATGGACCGCACTGGAGACAGAGCAAATGTAAGAGTTGTCTAAAAGTTATCTGCTGCTTCAGGGCTTGTTCACACCAAGCGCGGAGCAGATCCGGACCAGAGCAGGTGCAGACCGGATCAAAACTGCGTCCAATGTATTCCTATGGTATTTTGACCTCCAGTTCACATCGCAGCGTGCGGATCCAGACCAGATCCAGACCGGAGGAAAAAAATGCGGCAAGCCCTATTTTACCTGCTCTGGATCTGGTCTGGAACGCATCAAAAACGCATCAAAAACGCATGCAAGTGCCCGAAAGTCCATGTTAAACTTCTTTTTTTTTTTTTAACCAAAACCGGCCCTAAACGCATCTAAAACGCATCCAAAACGCGTCTAAAACGCGGCACAACCCACTACACTGCATGTGCAGAAACCTGACCGGATCTGGTCTGCATTTGGTGTGAACAAGGCCTCATACTCCTGCCTGGTTTTCTTTAAAGTGTGCCTAAAATTAAGAGTTTAGGTCTTCTTTTAGCAAATGTACTGATCAGATTTGCATGCCCTATAGTACAGTCTTACAAATGGAAAAAATATTAACCGGCTGGACACTGTTAAGAGGATTAAATACTCCATTCTGTAGGATAACATTATACTCAGCAGACCAGCCTTTGTAGATCATCAGTACATAAAGATCTAAAATACTCTGAGCAGGGATGGACCTACTGCCGGTACACTGGTGACAGAGCAAATGTAAGAGTTGTCTAAAAGTTATCTGCTGCTTCAGGGCTTGTTCACACCAAGCGCGGAGCAGATCCGGACCAGAGCAGGTGCAGACCGGATCAAAACTGCGTCCAATGTATTCCTATGGTATTTTGACCTCCAGTTCACATCGCAGCGTGCGGATCCAGACCAGATCCAGACCGGAGGAAAAAAATGCGGCAAGCCCTATTTTACCTGCTCTGGATCTGGTCTGGAACGCATCAAAAACGCATCAAAAACGCATGCAAGTGCCCGAAAGTCCATGTTAAACTTCTTTTTTTTTTTTAACCAAAACCGGCCCTAAACGCATCTAAAACGCATCCAAAACGCGTCTAAAACGCGGCACAACCCACTACACTGCATGTGCAGAAACCTGACCGGATCTGGTCTGCATTTGGTGTGAACAAGGCCTCATACTCCTGCCTGGTTTTCTTTAAAGTGTGCCTAAAATTAAGAGTTTAGGTCTTCTTTTAGCAAATGTACTGATCAGATTTGCATGCCCTATAGTACAGTCTTACAAATGGAAAAAATATTAACCGGCTGGACACTGTTAAGAGGATTAAATACTCCATTCTGTAGGATAACATTATACTCAGCAGACCAGCCTTTGTAGATCATCAGTACATAAAGATCTAAAATACTCTGAGCAGGGATGGACCTACTGCCGGTGCAGCCGATGAGGGGGCCCAGTGAGACCTGGTCCAAGGCACTCAGGGCCAGTGCTAGCAGAAGGCCGAACAGACAGCTCCCTGAGAGTGCTGAGTGGGGGGGAGGGTTTGATACCAGAAAAGACTGGGAAGGTTGAGGTAGATAGAAGTTCATTCAGCTGATCCAGTGGTGCCATCCGCTGTCATTTCAGCAGCCCCACATTGAACGTTGGGGCATTCTCGGTCAGGAGTGCGGTGGGTTTGCTTATATGTCCAGCAATGAAAGAATCCCCCCACCTCCACAGTGTGTCTGGGATTTCTCATAGCCCTAGATTGTGCCAGGCTGTTAGAAAATCTCAAAGTAGTGAGTGAAACAGCACCCCTGCCTCATCTCCCTGCTTATCCCTGGGATCCTGCAGTTTAGATGGTTTCCATTTAGGAAGAAGAAGGAGCTGTCATTGAGGTGTTTAGCAGGAGAAACAAAAGTGTCAGATCCAGCAGGATAAAAGACAAGTCTGATCTGCCCCCTGCCCAAGTGACCTGATGAAACTGTGACTTTCCATCAGCAATTAGGGTTAAAGTCCAACAAAAGCTAAAACTTTTTTGTTTTGATGGGTTAAAACCCCTGATGGGTTTGTTATTGCCCTGTCTTCAAAACTGTTGTCAAAAGAACAAAAACAGAAAGAAAATCTTCTAATGATGTCACTTGTTCTAGTGACAGCTGGAGGGGTTTTCCCTTTGGACAGATTTTCTCTCACTCTCTGTTGTGTCTATAAGGGTAGAATTGAAGTAGTGATGCACCAATACCAATATCGGTGTATTGGTATTGGTGCCTCACTTGTTCTAGTGACAGCTGGAGGGGTTTTCCCTTTGGACAGATTTTCTCTCACTTTCTGTTGTATAAGGGTAGAATTGAAGTATATACCAATATTGGTATATAGAGAGAGCAGTGTGTGCTATACTCCATTTTGTATATGGAGATCACTGTGCGCTATACTCCCCACTGTGTATAGATCGAGATCAGTGTATATAGAGATTACTGTGTATATATAGCGATCAGTGTATGCTATTCTCCTCATTGTGTATATAAAGATCAGTGTGCCATAGTCCCCATTGTGTACATAGAGATCACTGTGTGTTATACTCACTACTGTGTATATAGAGAGCAGTGTGTATATAAAAATCAGCGTATATAGAGATCATTGTGTGCTATACCCTCCACTGTGTATATGGAGATCACTGTGTGCTATACCCTCCACTGTGTATATGGAGATCACTGTGTGCTATACCCTCCACTGTGTATATGGAGATCACTGTGTGCTATACCCTCCACTGTGTATATGGAGATCACTGTGTATATAGAGATCAATATGTGCTATATTCCCCATTGTGTATATAAAGACCAGTGTGTACAAGCAGATCACTGTGCCTAAAGAGATCAGTGTATATATAAAGATCACTGTGTGCTGTACTCCCCACTGTGTATATAGAGATCCGGGAGCGGACCTACCGCCGGTGCAGCCAGTGCGACAGGCTTCTGTGGAGGAGTGCCGGGCATCAGTGGGGGGGGATGGAGATGACCGACTTCTATGGGAGGGGGGACAGGCTTCTGAGTAGGAAGGGAGGGGCAGAAGAAAAAAAAATCTCGCACTAGGGTCCTTCGATCAACTGAAGCCAGAATCTGGAGCAGTTGCCCATAGTAACCAATCAACATTTTGTGCAACCAGTCAGTCCCTGGAGAGAGCGTGCACGCTGTATCCAGCTTCTGACAGGTTGTGCTATTAGCGTAGCGGGGAAACCAACTGTGTATTTTGCCTATCCTGTCAGAGGGTGGATGCAGCGAGGGACTGTTCAAATAGTAACAGGCACGCTGTCTCACTTCTGCCAGCATCGGAGAGAGAGAACGCTGAGCTCATCGGTGGATTCGGGAAGAATCATTTTTTTTCTCTTAATGTCAGGTGCCTTACTGGTTTGGGGGTGGCATTTTTGCCTAGTTTGCCTTGCAGTAGATACGCCTCTGCAGTTAAGTTTTGAAAATAAGAGATAATCTGATTGGTTCCCATGCACAACTGCTCCAGATTCTGTCTTCTACAATTTTGATACATTTCCCTTACTATATGTTAATGAGAGCAAGGTCAGAGTCTCCAGTCTTTCTATGAGGACAGACAGAGGTTCCTGTCACTTTGAAATCGTAGACAGAAATTTGCAGTCTTTGCAAAGGCCTGTTCCATAGAGACATCTAAAAAGTAAGCAATATTTAAAATATATATATTTCTTAGGTATGTTGTGTGAATAGGAACACAAACATATTGTTGGGTTTTCTCAAATGTGAGTACAATAGTGGAAATACACTTTTAGGAATATCTGTAAACACAACATGCAAAAATGATCATCCAAACAACATTCTGACAAAGCAACTATACTAATATTTAAAAGAACGTCCATATTAAGAGCAATCACCCACCTGCATGTGAAATACTTCATCAGAACTTTCAGACTGTCCAGTCAAATTGCTAACTTCTGCTGACGCTTGTGATGACAGCGAGGATGAAGAGTATCTATTCACAGCTGGATAACTTAAAGCACTATTTCACAAATGAAAAAGAAAGCAGAAAATAAATGATGGGCAGTTTTAATGATTCTCAGTGCTTCAAATATGGCAGAGACTATACGTATAATCTATACTATGACGTGAGGGGGTTTCTGCTTTCTTGAGAAACTCCATTGAACATTTCAGAACAAGCCAGCATATATGCATTAGGCACTGACACTGGTTTGTACTATGCTACTTCAGGCTGAACAAAGCAATGTATGGTTAGAGAGCCATTTGGTCAAATTTATGGAACCACGGATTCCACCAAAAGAGATTTAAAAAAAAAGGAAAAGTGAGATGACATACTGTATGTTGTATTGTAGATGTACGTTATATTAATGTGACACATTTTAATAATGGAATAGATTAAAAAAAAAAAAAAATCTAAACTTTTTATCATAGTGGACCAACAGATATTTAAACAGCAAATAGAGGAAATAACAAATGAATAACTTAGTAAAAACAAGTAACCGTGTATGTGTGTATATCCTGTATATGTATATATTCTCTCTTTCTCTCTCTAGATAATGGAGCCTAAGGCACAATAACTAAGTTGATAGGACAAGCAAGGAATTTAAGCTGCAAGGTATAAATTAGACACTATCAGCAAATCTCACATTTGGTATGGAAATTTCAGTTGAGAGTTCTCTAACACTGTATATTGGGACTTGTTGACTTTGCTATGACAGTCAATCTTCACCAAGAAAGAAGCTTATTGTGAATACTATGTGCACCTTACCTTCGTCTAGGAACCACGCGTACAGCCTCTGGACCTATGATGGCAGGTGCGGAGTTTCTAGGTATGCAAGGGCTTCCATTGGGGAAACTGACAGGACTGGGTGGTACACAGGCTGAGAAATCCTGATGGTTCAATGAACAGACATTTACACACAAAATTAGAAATATATAATTGGGAACATTTTAGTGTAAACACTTCATCAAAAATGTACGAGTACAGAAGCAAAAAAGAAATAAGGGGATTCCTAATACAGTGGTATGAAAATTCTGCTGCTACACACACAAAGTTCATAACTGCAGTAAACATGAGGTGTCACTATACAGACGAACAGAGCAACACCAATTTTAATGAAAGGAAGATGTACTTTAACATAATAACCAAAAGATGTCAGTGTTGCTCAGGATTCTGTTTAACTTATCATTTTAAGACCATCATGCAATGTTTGACTTTCATCCGCAGTAAAACACAATACATAATGGTCTACGTACCTGTATTCCCAGACTTGACTTCAGTACAAAGAACTGATCCACCATCTTTTTGTGTAAAGGTCTCATATCCTGAGGCACAAATTTTTCATGAACTGCTAAACCAAACTCTAAAATCTGAGCCTAAAAAGATCCAGTAAAAATTAAAATCCATTAGTTTGTTGCAATGGCTACAATAAAGTGACACTAAACTCAGGAGTAAATTCTTAAAAATGCATTCAAGTACTTTAAGATGTAACTTATTTGTGTATCACTCAGCTGTAGACCATCAAATCATCTCTGAATTGGTGCAGATACTGTCCTTCCTTCTGGACTACCTTTGATCCCCATGGTCATTGTGTGTGTTGCAAAGTAGTCACCGCTCCAAGCTCTCTCCTTTAAGGGTCTACAATCTAAGTACAAATCATATGATTATAGATTATAATGATTTTAGTCCATCACAGGAGTGAATTTGGAGTGGTGGCTACTTAACAACACACACAGGGACAGGGGCTGACTGGCAACTTTTAGCCCAGGGTGCAAGTACAACCCAGAGGCCCATGGTGCAGCAACTTGGCCCCCCTCCTGCTCTCCCTCTTCCCCTGCCTTCTCCCTGCCCCTGTCTGCCACTTTTGCCATACATGTAACAGTAGCGTGAATGTATCTATCGGTTTAGGAAACTTAAAGCACACTGGTAGTGTAGGGATGCCTTGTCAGGGCTGTGCGTGTGCATGACTGCTGCGACCCTGTTAGTTCTGCCACTAACTCAGAAATACACTGTACAGCATTGCAGAATGGCATTGGCTAAAGAGAACTACAATTCCAAGCAATACATTACACAACAATGCAGAATACCATCAGCTATAGAGGACTATATATCCCAGCAATAATGACTACCAACAGCTATAGAGAACTACAATTCCCAGCAATACCATTATACAGCAATGCAGAACAGCATCAGCTATAGAGGACTACAAATCCCAGGAATAGTACATTATAGCTGGTGGTATTCTGCATTGCGCTGTATAATGTATTGCTGGGTTTTGTAGTCCTCTATAGCTGGTGGAATTCCGCATTGCGCTTTATAATGTATTTTTGCTGAGATTTGTAGTCCCCTATAAAGCGCAATGCAGAATACCATCAGCTATAGAGAAATACAACAAATCCCAGCAATACATTATACATACTGTGTATAATGTATTGCTGGGATTTGTATTCTTCTATAGCTGATGGTATATTGCTCTGTATAATATACAGTACAGCATAATGTACCATCAGCTGTAGAGGACTACAAATCCCACTATCCCAGCAATATATTATAGAGCACCATGTGGGGGGGGG